GGTGCAAGTATGAATGGTTTTAATAGGAATATTGAGGATCTCGCTATGCAGAATCAGCCTCCCCGAGCATAAGAACCTCCAGTTCCAAAGTGGGGTAAAAATTTGGAGGAAGTTAACTTTCCAAAGGATCCCAAAGCCAGTCTTGATTCAGATTGCACGGCTCTCTCTTTTAGCATCCAAAAGATTGGAAACCTAACTGTTTTATATCTTCTTATAAAAATTTTCTGAAAGCCAAACTCTTTAGCTGAGAAAATACGGCATGCTCCTTGTTTGGGATGCTGGATCCATTAAAATCTATAATATTGATTTTTATTCCATAATTAGCCCTTGCAGATGAGAAATTGATGCTGCTTTCCGGTTTCCCTTAATGAGCTTTCTAGGGAAGACTTGGCTGATGAAACCTGTAGATCTTTTTACATAAGCTTTGCCAACCAATCAGGTCTCTACCCAGTACTGTCTTTCTAGTGGGCAGCCAGGTACGGACTGGAGCTAGAGCTGTATTCTTAAAATTGCCTGCTAAGCGACGGCAAACTTAGGTTCACCTTTTTGATACCTTAGTTTGATTGGTTTATTCCTTAGCTTTTTGAAATATTTTGATATAGAATCTCCTTGCCCTCTTCCTCTGTTTTCAGACAGCCTTGGTTTAAAAGCAGAACAGCTGTCACTCCTTTTCTTCCTTCTTTTGTGGACGCTGAAGTGTGTAGGTGTGTGGCTTTTGTTTGGGGCAAGAGTGTGGCCTCGGGGATGCATGTGATTCTCAGGTTCCAGTTTTGCTGATCTGGATTGCTGAAAAAAGGACACCTGGACTCTTCATTTTAGGGAGAAACTAGGACAGGGGTAGGCAACCTGGGCTCTTTTATGACTTGTGGACTTCAACTCCCAGAATTCCTGAGCCAGTATGGCTCAGTTGGAAACCTCTCCCTTTCCCCTCAGCATGGCTGGCTCAGGAATTCTGGGAGTTGAAGTCCACGAGTCATAAAAGAGCCAAGGTTGCCTACACACAAATGGTCATTAAGTCAGCAGTTCTCAACCTATGGTTCGCGACCCCATTTGGGGGTCGATCGACCATTTCACGGGGGTCGCCAAACAAGGCTGTCCGCCATTTTTTTCCCTTTTCCGGCGGATGCCTTACCTCCCTTGGGCTGGGCCAGCTGGTGGCCCAGCCGATGGTCGGCCTGCTCTGTCTCTGCCGTTTGCCAGCTACGCCTCGGCCGGTGCAGGGGGCGGCACCACGCATGTATGGCGCTCCCGGGCAGGGAAAGTTCTCGACTTACGACCGGTTTAGTCCTCGACTTACAACCGGTTTTGTCCTCGACTTATGACTGGTTGGGGGTCGCGGCATTAAAAAGGTTGAGAACCACTGCATTAAGTCAAAGACTACAGGACTTAACCACAGTTCATTTAGGGACCGTTCAAAGATACAATGGCACTGAAAAAAGTGACATATGATCAGTTTTCAGACTTACGACCATTGCAGCATCCCCCACGCTTGGCAACTGACTCATATATATGACGCTTGAAGTGTCCCCAGGGGTCACATCATCCTCTTTTGCAACCTTCTGACAAGCAAAGTCAATGGGGAAGCCAGATTCACTAGTTTGATTAATTTAATAACTTACAGTGATTCACTTAACAACCGTGGCAAGAAAGGTCGTAAAAACCAGGGCCACGAGATATAGGCTGCAAAAAGGTAGACAACCACCAGATGGAAGCAGAAAGATAGGATTTTCCTTATCTTTTTTGCTGCAATCTGTTGGTCAGCTTTTGCAGCGCAGTTCTGGTAATGTTGGGCAGTGTTTCTCATTTTCAGATGTATGGACTTCAACTTCAGCCTTCAGTTGTGTGGAGTTGAAGTCCACACAACTGAAGGCTGCCAAGGATGAGAAACACTTGAAAATTGCAATATGTATTTCAATTTTATAAGATAGCTAACTCGGAATCGATTCTTAGTAATTAAGACTGAACTTAAGTATAGTGCTCAGTTCTATTCAGTGGTTTGCGTAGTGTTGTGCACGGTCGTTGTTCAATATTTTTAGCTTATGTTTGGTAGTGATTCTTAATCCCTTTGAAGTGACATATTCAATTGCTCGTAATAATTTGTATTTTAGAAGGCCGTAGTCTCCAGGATGCTTTTAAATCTCTGGTTTATTTCGTTGTATTATTTTCTTTTATCCTTTTCTTGTGTTCTCTTTTTTGTTTGTTTATGTATTTTATAAGAAAGAGAAAGAAAGAAAGAGAGAGAGATGGAGGGAGGGAGGCCACATTTAAAAAGAAAAGGAACAAGAAAATTATAGCATAATTCTTATAAAGTAAGCTTATCACAAGGATTTATTTCTAAAAAAATAGAACTTTCTCAGCTCTCTTTCCAAAATCAATCCCAAGTCATGTATGCAATGTGTCCTTTTTCATTTCCACGCCCTCACAGCCTTGAGCGACATACAAAGTAATAAAGGCGGGATAATTATCTAATAAATAAATTAAAAACATTAAAACTCACCCCCTTAAAACAAACCTAATTAAGCCCCAATCAGTCCAGGTTTCCAAGCTTAGAACGCTGGCCTGCCAAGGTGTAATTCTTTTGTTTAAAGCAATGGAGAGACCCAAAGTTTATTTCAATTTCCTTAAATAAGATGCCAGGAAAATAAAAAGCAACCAAAGGCCTTTTTCTGATATTGAGGTGAACACTGTCTGGACAGTGTTCAACATTTATTTTAACAACTCATTCTAGCTAAAGCTAAATGTAGCAAATACAGGTAATCCTTGACTGTTGTTAAGTGAGACTGTTGTTAAGTGAATTTTGCCCCATTTTACCAGCTTTCTCGCCACAACTGTTAAGGGAACCATTGCCGTTAAGTTAGTAACACAATTTTAAGTGAATCTGGCTTTGCTTATCAAAAGGCGATCACGTGACACCCCCCCCCGGGACACCGCAGCCGTCAGAAACTTGAATCAGTTGCCAAATATCCGAATTTTGTCACGTGACCGTGGGGATGCTACAACGGCTGTAAGTGTGAAAAACGGTTGTGTCACTTTTTTCAGTGCCGTTGTCACTTCAAATGGTCACTAAACGAAATGTTGTAATTCGAGGACTGCCCGTAGTTCTTTTTTGGCTGTTAACTTTTTATATTTATTCAAAAAGTTAAAGTACAAAACTCCCAAAAAAAAGGAAAAAAATTTTTTTTTACTAAAACAACAAAAAAATAAATAAGCAAGACATGGGGGCGGAGTGCATTTTTTTTTTTAAAAAAAAGAGACACAAACAGATATTTAGCCTTTTATTTGAGGCAGCGGAAAACTGTACCAGCGTGAAATTGTCGGTCCTTATTGCCAGTCTTTAATCTGCCTCTATTTCCAGCCGATGCCCTGTCCGTAAATCACTGTCAGTGCTTCTAACCAACTGAGATGGTTGCCTTTTGCAAATAAAATGTTTTCTTGTCTGGAAACAGGCGGGGAGGGGGGAGGGGGAGGGAAGGGGCTTCCCCGTGGGATATTTTTCTTTTCAATTTCCCCTTCCCATCACGGTCCTCGGACAAACATCTCGCTGAATGCACCTATTGGTGCCCTGCGTGGGTGATGACACATTAAGCCCTCCGCATTGGGGTCATGGGAAGTTGGTCACCGTTTCCTTCCATCTCTTTAAAATTAGTTCTGATCAGCTAAATATAATCCGAGATGCTTAAGAGGCAGAAGATAAGAGAGCAAACAGCAGGGCAGGATAATGAAAAATACCAGCGCTTGGAGTTCACCAACGTGAATGGAAAGCTCTTTGAAACCGAACCATAACCGATTTCAGATTCTCCGCGCTGCCGTTAATGGCTGGATCCTTAGATGCCGAAAGTGTCATCATAGGGGCAGTCCTCGTCTTACGGCCACAACTGAGCCCAAGATTTCTGTTGTTAAGTGAGACATTTGTCCAGTGAGTTTTGCCCCATTTTACAACTTTTCTTGTGATGCATTTTTAAGTGAATCGCTGCAGTTCTTAATGGTCGTTAAGTGAATCCAGCTTCCCCATTGACTTTGCTTGTCAGAAGGTTGCAAAAGGGAAACCCCATGACCTAGGGACACAGTCATAAATAGGAACCAGTTGCCAAGCATCCAAATTTTCATCGCCACAACCGTCGTAAATATGAACAATGTGATCCTGGGGATGCTGCAATGGTCGTAAGTGTGAAAAATGGTCACAAGTCACCTTTTTCAGTGCCGTTGTAACTTTGAATGGTCACCAAATGAACTGTTGTAAGTTGAGAACTACCTGTATAATAATATTTAGAGTGTAAAGGTAGTCCTTGACGTGTGACCACAATTGTGCCCATTGCTAAACGAGGCAGCTGTTAAGTGAGTTTCGCCCCATTTCACGACCTTGTTTGCTACAGTTGTTCAATGAATCATTGCCGTTGTTAAGCGAATCGTGCAGTTGTTAAGCGAACCTGTCTCCTCCCCCCATTGACTTTGCTTGTTGGAAGCCGGCTGGGAAGGTTACAAGTGGTGATCACGTGACCCTGGGGCAGGGCAGCTGTCATAAGTACATGCCAGTGGCCAGCTTTCTTTTTTAAAATTTATTTATGTGCTCGCTTATTTTAACGCAGCACACTGAAATCATGTCTTAATAATGGGAGGGGAGTGGAAAAACTGACTGTTGCTGATTCTGAGGCTTATTGTGGGCAGCAGGTCAGAAAGAGGAGGTTAATTACTCCAGGGTTGGAATAATCCCAGGTTACAGACTAACTTTGCCATCATGGTTTTAAAGTGATTTGAAATGGACTTGGTTGCTACGTGACTCCTTTCTCCCCCCTTGTAGGATCAAGTAGTTCATGCGACAGCTAAAAATATCCCTTGGATTTCCATAAAAACTAAAAAATCTCCAGATTCACAGAGCAGGAGCTGTGATGATTAAGCTGGTTTGGAATTAGATTCAACTCTCAATTCAAATCTGGTTTTACCAGGGTAAAAAAATCCTGAATATACAAATAACATCCCTTTTTTTTTTCATCTTATCAAAGCTCTTTCATCTCCCGGACTGCAATGGGCCGAAAAAAGATACAGATTAGCCGAATCTTGGACCAAAGGAACCGGCAGGTAAGCGCCTCTAAAGCAGAAGTGGACTGGCAATCAGATGGACCTCTGACCAGATTTTTCTGCTAAGGACTACAGCTCCCATCATCTCTAGCCAACCTGGAGAGACTTTTTAAATTGAAGTTGCCATTTTAAAAGTCATAGGGCTGTAAATTGAGCACTATCTGGAAGGAAGGAAGGAAGGAAGGAAGGAAGGAAGGAAGGAAGGAAGGAAGGAAGGAAGGGGGAGGGAGAGGAGGAAGGAAGGAAGGAAGGAAGGAAGGAAGGAAGGAAGGAAGAGAGAGAGGAAGGAAGGAAGGAAGGAAGGAAGGAAGGAAGGAAGGAAGGAGAAGGGAAAAGGGGAAGGAAGGAAGGGAAGGAAGAAAGAAAGAAAAAAATAAGAAAAGAAAAAAGGGACGAGAGGAAAGATAAAAAAGAAGAAAAAGGAGCTTATCAGAGAGGAAAAGATTTAAAAACTTGCTGACTCATTACACTTGTTAAAGGGAGCATGCTCTCCACCCACCTAGCCAGAAACATTATTAAGTGACTTTGGATAATACTTTTTTTTCTTAATCCAGGCTTCTCACAAGATTGTTTGGAAATAAAATGAGACATACCTCAGTCTACACCCTTTTCATTTCTCAAAGTCATTTGTCTTTGGTAGTTAACTTGTGAACCAGAGTCAACAACCATCGATTTTCCCAGCTTAGCTGCATGGTTGAGAAATGCAGGCCCAAAACGTTTTGAAGCAAAGGAAGAGCGAGAAAAAAAGGACCTGAATAGCATTATGGGGGGCTTAAGGAGGAAGTATCATTGTTTTTAACTTTGTACGCTGCCCTGAGTCCTTTGGGATTGGGCGGCATATAAATACTGTAAATAAATAAATAAATAAAATAAAATAAGTAATGCAGGGGCCTTCAAACCTGGCCCTTTTATGACTTGTGGGCTTCAACTCCCAGAATTCCTCAGCCAGGCACGCGTGCCTGGCTGAGGAATTCTGGGAGTTGAAGTCCACAAGTCATAAAAGGGCCAAGTTTGAAGACCCCTAGAGTAACGCCTTCGTGTTGACAGAAACTGAGTGCCAGATGATCTGTAGGCTTTAAATTCCTGGCCCCAGTTGCAAGTTGGCCAAATCTGCCCCATTTCTTACAGATAGACCTCGACTTACAACTGTTCAGTTATTGACCTTTCAAAGTTACAACAAGTGATGGTTACGATTGTTTTTCACACTTACTGACTGTTGTGGCGTCCCCATGGTCTTGTGATCAAAACTGAGAGGCTTGGCCACTGATTCACGTTTATGACGGTCGCAGTGTCCCGGGGGGGTCATATGATCCCCTTTTGCGACCTTCTGCCAAGCAAAATCAATGGGGAAGCCAGATTTCCCTCACCACCGTGTTACTAACTTAACAACCGCAGTGATTCACTTAACAACTGTGGCAAGAAGGGTCGTAAAATGGGGCCACTTGACAAATGTCTCGCTTAGCGACAGATTGGGCTCGATTGTGGTTGTTAAGTTAAGGACTGCCTGTATTTTGTTTCCCCTGCCCTGTGTTAGGTCACGTTCACCAAGAGGAAGTTTGGGTTGATGAAAAAGGCCTACGAGCTCAGCGTCCTGTGTGACTGTGAGATCGCCCTGATCATTTTCAACAGCACCAACCGTCTCTTCCAGTATGCCAGCACGGACATGGACAAGGTTCTCTTGAAGTACACGGAGTACAGCGAACCCCACGAGAGTCGAACCAACTCGGATATTCTGGAGGTAAAACGTGGGAAGGCTCCTAAAATTCAAAGGTGCTTTTCCCTGAGGCAGCTGGAGTTCTTTGTTTTCTTGTTTCTTCTTCAGCTCTGACTGGATGGTGGGGATTGGAAGGATTTATACTCCTTGCAGACAGATAGCTGGTCATATGCATTCTTTTAGAGCAGGGGTTCCCAACCCCTGGTCCGTGGACCGGTACCGAGCTACGGCATGCCAGCAACCGGTCCGCACAAACAAGCAAAGCCCCATCCGTGAGATGCAGGCAGCACACAAAACCACGCACTCTCCGGTCCGCAGAAAAACCTCTCTCCGTGGAACCGTTCCCTGGTGCCCAAAAAGTTGGGGACCTCTGTTTTAGAGAGTCGTTGAGACCACTTGAAGACTTATCTGTGTTTTCAGGGTCACCTGAGTAGTGCAAATGGGTGGGGAGCCTTCTTGGAACTGCTGCAAGGACTGTGTTGTAGACTGGAGATAGATGATGTTGGATCCCTCCTCTGTTGAGACAGGGCTGTTCAGTTTTGATATAGATGGCCTCTTTGACCCCTCTTTCAAAACAGCGGTCCTCTCTGTCCAAAATGTGGACTTCGCTGTCTTCAAAAGAGCGGCCTTTGCCTTTTAAATGCAGATGGACTGTTGAATCTTGTCCTGATGGGCTTGTTCTCCTGTGTTGTGCCCTATGTTTATGAAGGGGTTGTTTTGTTTCCTCAATGTACAAATCTGCACGTGGCTCACTGCATTGTATTGCATATACCACATTGCTCAGTTTGTGACTTAGTGTTTTAGCCTTGGGGTGGACCAGCTGCTGTCTTAGTGTATTCTTGGGTTTGAAGTGTGCACGTATCTTGTGTTGGGCTTTGAAGCGTGCCCTTCAAAAAGCACCTTTGGGACAACCATGACCTGGATGACTGAGAATCTCCATAGACACTAAAATGCAGCTTCCTCAAAGGGCTCTTCGGATTTTGGAATATCAGAAACCAGCTTAGTTGTTTTCTTGCAGATGTTTCCTTAACCCAACTAGGTAATATCATCACTGACCAATAAGTGGTAACAGCCAAGCTTAGAGAGCATAGAGGACTCCACAGCCCAGCCCTGAACTAAAAATATTCTTTTTGATCAGTACCAAATCTATCTTTCTTTAAATAATGAATCTGATGCATTAAGGTTTGCATTTTAAAGTTGGCAAACAATACGTCTGCTGTTGATGTATAATTTGCCATACCGTTTAACTTCTCTATGTTAGAAATGCAGTCATGTGGTTTGATAAACAAAACAGTGTTGAGATACTCCTCGCTTAGTGACCATATTTGTAGGTCAGGGTTGAAATGAGAGTGGTCTCTGAGCTTGGTTGTTTTCTTGCAGACATTTCATTACCCAAACTAGGTAACATGACCAGTACTAGTAGGGAGTGGGGTTTGATCTCAGTTTATATTCTAGTGCAGGGGTCTGCAACCTTGACAACTTTAAGACTTGTGGATTTCAGCTCCCAGAATTCCTCAGCCAGCATAGCTGGGAGCTGAAGTCCACAAGTCTTAAAGTTGTCAAGGTTGCAGACCCCTGTTCTAGTGTCTTGCCATGTCAGTGACAGACCACTCCAAAACCACTCCCAGCATAGATTGGACATTTGTCTGAAATGGTATAGGATTTCCTGCCTGAGCAGGGGGTTGGACTAGAGCAGGGCTTTTCAATCAGTGATATGGGTACCACCTGTGGTACATTGGCACCTGGCAGGGGGTACGTGACCATCCTAGAAAAGTGGTAACGGGGGAGGTGAATGAGCTGAACTGGTGGCAGCACCGCACAAGCCTGAGTGAGAGATGGCTGGAGCTGCAGGGCTGTCAGGGCTCAGTGGAAGCGCCAGGATCAGTGCCGCTTTCCAGCTGATCAGCGCTTCGGGGCTGTCAGGGTTCAGTGGAAGCGCCAGGATCAGTGCCAGGATTCAGCTGGAGCTCAGTGCTGATCCTGGTGCTTCTGCTGAGCCCAGAAGAAGTGCCAATCAGCTGGAATGTTGCAGCATCTCCAGGGTCTTGTGATTTACATTCAGATGCTTGGCAACTGATTCATATTTATGACGGTCACAGTGTCCCAGGGTCATGTAAAGTGACCAAAACCTGCTACAACCATCCAGCAGACAGGGGGAATAAAAACCAAACACCCCCCTCCCCACCCCCACTGCCAATCCTCAACAGAAATGTTCACAACAGTTAAAATCTCGGACAGGAGGAAGAGCGCCACTGGGTGGGCAGGCAGGTGTCTTGCTCGGCTGTGGCTTGGGGGGCACTTTTTTCAGTGCCATTGTAACTTCGAACAGTCACTAAGTGAACTGTTGTAAGTCGAGGACTACCTGTACTTTATCACTTTTTTCCTTTTTTGGGGGGGGTCATCAAGTTTTTGGCACCTTGCTAGATGATTGGTGGTACTCGGATATTGCCATATCCAAAAAGTGGCACAATGGGTGAAAAAGTTGAAAAGCCCTGGACTAGAAGACCTCCAAAGGTCCCTTCCAACTCTGTTTTTTTATTGAAATGAATTTTGTAAAGCTTGAAAAGTGCTTTCTATCCATTGGGGAATATAAGCAGTCCTAACTTCATGACTGCAGTATTTATTTAACAACCACAGCATTTGCTTAATGACCGCCGCATAAAAGATCATAAAATCAGGTGGAGTCACATGGTGACCCACTTAATGACCACTTAAGTTATAACTGTAATTCCAGGTTCAATTACAGTCGTAAATCGAAGATTACTGTATAAGCCGAACACAAATTGAGCATGTAACTCAACTGCACTTCAGATTGGCTTTATTTAATAGCATTAATAATAATAATAATAATAAAGTTGAAATGGACCTTGGAGGTCATCTAGTCCAACCCCTTGCTCAGGCAGGAAACCCTACATCATTTCGGACAAATGACAGTCCAGTCTCTTCTTAAAAACTTCCAGTGTTGGAGCATTCACCACTTCTGGAGACAGGTTGTTCCACTGGTTAATTGTTTTAACTGTCAGGAAGTTTCTCCTTAATTCTAGGTTGCTTCTCTCCTTGATTAGCATTATATTTCTTTGATTTTACATCTACATTATTAATGTTTTTAAATTGCTGCAGACCCTGAAACGAAAAGGCCTGGGCTTTGAAGGTGCAGAACTGGATCTTGTAGAAGCTTTGGACCCAGCTGAGAAACTGAGGCAGCTTGATGAAGGAATGGACCTTAGATTAGCCCGTCCAAAACTGAGCGTGAGTATTGCTTGGGATAAACAAATTGCCACAGGTAGTCCTTGAGTTACAACAATGTGTTTAGTGACCGTTCGAAGCTACAACGGCCTTGTCAAAAGTAATGTCATGGTTCCGACAGATGAAACTCTTCAAAGAACTTCGAGGCATTGTTTACCTTAAAGAATCTTCATTCAGAATAGCATAGCATCAGCACCTACATAGCAAAGCCAAAATCTGAATTCCTCTCCCCTGAGCACATAGTATCAAGCACAATTCCCTCCTCTAATTAACAGCCATAAATCACATTCTCCAATTAGTTTGAAATGCAGGCTTTCCCTCCTGTTCTCCAACCCTGCCATTTCTTATCATCTCTTATTTCAAAAAACCTTGGTTCTCACCCTAGTTACAATATTGTGTAACTCCCATACACATTCCTCTTCCTCCCACCCCCAACATCATCTAATTCCAACTCTAATTCTAAGAGTAAAACATAAGAAGGAAAATGGCTGCATCTCCATATATTGTCAGAGCAAGAACATCCGATGTTAGCAGCGTTGACAAGTAACTTACGACCATTTTTTACACTTACAACTGTTGCAGTATCCTCATAGTCACACAATCAAAATTCAGATACTTGGCAATTGGCACATATTTATGGTGGTTGTGGTGTCCCGGGATGTGTGTGTGTCACGTGATGCAAAGTCAATGGGGGAACCCAGATTCTCTTAACAACCATGTCACTAATTTAACAACTGCAATGATTCACTTAACTGTGGCAAGAAAATGGAGCAAAATTCACTTAAAAACTATCCTGCTTAACAATAGAAATTTTGGGCTCACTTGTGGTCGTAAGTCGAGGACCACCTGTACAGGTCCTGCTATGAATTTTCCATTCATTTGCTCCCTAAAAGTGGGTTCAAATGCTTTTTAAAAAAAATGCATAGTAGAGATGTGCCAGGGAGGTTGCACGCAAAATGCTGTTAAGCATTTGGAAAGTTTTGACCGTAGTGGAAGGATTCAGATATTATTTTGAGCGTTTTGGATTGGAACTGTTCCAAACTTAGCTTGGAAAACTTCCAGAATCATCATAAAAATGCTTCCAGCCAGACTAGAACAGACTTCGAATAGGCTAGCCAAGAAATGTGCTCACTTTTTACTTTTCTAAATGTTGCAACAGAGTCACCAGTTCAAAAGTATAAATGGAACTGATGTTTTAAAATGCATATATATTGGTAATCATAAAGGAGAGGACACATTGTAGTGGGAGAAATTACTTGCCAGAAGTTGCATGTCATATAAAATCTGTATCATGCATAGAGGAAGAGATTTTTATACGTAATAACCTGCACATTTCATCATGTGAACTCTTTGGATTCACCAATACACATGCACACACACCGCCCCACTGATGTGGAAATAAAACAATAAATGTAACATTGGAACCATGAAAAATAGAATGAGTCCTTTCCTGACAGAACAATTTATCAGTGGAACAATCTGCCTCCAGAAGTTGTGACTGCTCCAACATTGGACATTTTTAAGAAGAGACTGGACAGCCATTTGTCTGAAATGGTATAGGGTTTCCTGCCTGAGCAGGGGGTTGGACTAGAAGACCTCCAACGTCCCTTCCATCTCTATTCCAATCTACTCTACTCTACTCTACTCTACTCTACTCTACTCTACTCTACTCTATTCTAATTCTTTCATTCCAATTTCTGTTCTGTTCTATTCTAGTCCAGTCCAGTCCAGATTGAAAATACAGGTAGTCCTAGACTTACAACATTTAGTGACCGTTCAAACTTACAACTGTACTGGGAAAAGTAATTTATGACCATTTTTCACAATTACGACCATCGCAGCATCCCCATGATCACATGATCAAAATCGCTTGCAAGCAGTTCATAATTAAAAGGGTTGCAGTGTTCCGGGGGGGGGGGTGTCATGTGGTCCTCTTTTGCAATCTTCTGACAAGCAGAGTCAATGGGGAATCCAGATTCACTTAACAACCGTGTTACTAACTTAACAACTGCAACCACTGACTACACTTAATAACTGTGGCAAGAGAAGTTGTAACATGGAGCAAACTCACTTAATAAATGTTTCGTGTAGCAACATAAAGATTGAGCTCAGTTGTGGCCGTAACTTGAGGATGACCTGTATTTATCCTGGGCACTGAAGTCCACAAATCTTAACGCTGCCAAGCCTTGGCCATCACTGACACAGAGGAAGATTTTTCAACAGATCTTCCCAGGACATCCTCAGCAGACAGGCTCATCCCGTTCTACTTCAAAAGAGCCCAAATAATCATGTTTTTCCCCTCCTGATCTTTTCGATGTCCTGTTTTCCCTTGCAGTCGGCTGCTTCCCTGTCGAGTCTCGAGGGGGCATCCATAGGAACTCCCCAATCTGGGAGCGAGGGTGGTGTGTGCAATTCAGCCGAATCTCCTGTTCAACAGAACCGTCTGCAGCAGTTTAAGCCGACTCTTCCCAAAGCAGCCTTCCCTTCAGTGCGGTCCCCAGCCACCCTTGGACCAGGTAAAGGGGCCGTATAAGATGCCTCGGTTTCACCTCTCCAAGTACAGGTAGTCCTCCACTTACGGCTTGGGCTGCATCAGCAAAGGCATAATGTTGAGATGATGGGAAGTGACAGTTTTTCTCTTGCTAGTCAGACTGCAACTGGAATCCAATGTCCACGTCTCCACCATATAAGAATGACTGTCAGACCTGGTTGTTGGGAGGGGGGGTGATTTCTTTATTCTTGTGGGTTCTGCCATAATTCTGGGGGGAGGGGGGAGCTAGGGGCACTACAATGTATCCCCTCCACTTTCCTTTATCTGCCTGCTCTTTGATCTATTTCCCTTGATGCCGGCCTGGTGTGAGAAAGGAATGTGCCTCCAGACATCTGCCTTATCTCTAGCTGGGGAAGAAGAGGCGCGAAGACCGAACATCCTGACAGCCTTGGGAACGGCGCCTTATCAATCCCGTTCCCACAGTGGATTCACACCTGGGGATTGGGCCATTTGAACACGCTGGTTTGACTATTGGGGTGGGGTTTGCCAGTTACTCTTTTAACCTATTGATCCGCGTGGGAAACTCTCAGATCCTGCCTTCTGTGCCTGCTGTCAACTTCTCCTAATAAAAGTTCCTTTTGGAATGAAGCTGTTCCAGGAGTTCTGCTTTCTTGGGAAGAGGGTTTGAGGCAGGCCCTTACATTGACATTGAGAAGCTGGAAACAGTGCAGAGAAGAACAACGAGGATGGAGATAAATCCTAAATCCTATGAAGAAGACCTAAAGAGACTGGGTCTGTTTAGCTCAGGGATGTCCAATCTTGACAATTTTAAGACGTCAACTCCCAGAATGTTAAATAATTATTTCAAGGGTGGTTTCCTGCCCACTTGCATAACAAGTGATACTACAGCATTTCAGCATTTTGGTACGGCCGGGGATCTAGGAATGGGGCTTTGGCAGGGGACTGCAGACTGCTGTCCACTTACAAACAGGAGCTATGTCTTCTGGGCCGTCATCAGCCTGAATTTCATCCCTTTTCTGATTCTGCAGGTATTGGGTATTCGATCTTCTCCCACAGCAACCTCAGCCGTGTATTGTCGAGCAAAACCCCTCCTCCGCTCTATCTGGGGGCTGACTCCCATCGGGTGAAAGGACGCCCTTCTGCAAGCAGAAACAATCTAACATCCACTGTGAGTAACTTACAGTATCCATCTGTTTTTGGGGGGTAGATCAGAGGTCCCCAACCTTTTGGGCACCAGGGACTGGTTCCGTGGAGAGAGGTTTTTCCACGGGCTGGAGGGTGTGTGGTTTTGTATGCTTCCTGCATCCCTGGGGCTTTGCTTATTTGTGCGGACCGGTTGCTGGCATTCCGTGGCCTGGTACTGGTCCACAGACTGGGGGTTGGGGACCCCTGCGGTAGATGATCCAAAGATTCAACTTCTGGGCAAGAGACACAGGCCAATGCCAAGAGGGTAAAAGTCATATGCAGATAAATAGCAATAGCACTTAGGCTTATATACCGCTTCACAGTGCTTCACAGCCCTCTCTAAGCTGTTTGATAGAGTCAGCCTGTGGTCCCCAACAATCTGGGTCCTCATTTTACTGACCTCGGAAGGATGGAAGGCTGAGTCAACCTTGAGCCGGTCAGGATCGAACTGCAGAAGTGCTGGCAGATGGCAGTCAGCAGAATTAGCCTTCAATGCTGCTGTCAACGCTGCAAATATTGTATATTCTTGCTTTTGACAATATGCAAAATTGTCTGGTAACTATGGGGTTAATAAAGAGCACAAGGGGCGTTGGGGGTAAAGCCCCGGGAAAGAAAGAGGAAGAAAACATTTGACCTTCACACTAATTGGATAATGTGAGATATGATGGCTAATTTAGGGAGGGAACATGCTGATAATTTAACTGCTCAGAGGAAGAGAACTTAGATCCTACCATCCCTCCGTTGTGCCTGTGCCCACATTTTGTAACAATAAAAGACTTTTAGGAAAATAAATGCCTGGAAGTTCTTTGGAATGTTTCATTAGCCGGAACCACATCAGCTGCATTCTAACCACTGTGCCACCATGACTTTTAACGCAGGGCTAAAGCCAGTGATGGGTGGAATAGAATACAGGTTGTCCTTGATTTATAACCATGATTTACAACTGAAAGAAGTGACTTTACTACCATGTTTCACACGGCCGTTGCAGCATCCCCAGCGTCACATGATAGAAATTCAGGTGCCTGGCCATTGTTCCACTTTCTTTCTTACATGATATACTTTCTCTTCTGCATTAGAGGTAGTCCTGGTTTAACAACTGCTTGCTTAGCAATCATTCAAAATTACAGTGCCCCTCCCCCCAACTACTTATGACCTGTTTTTGACGTGCTGATGCTCTCTCTCTCTCTCTCTCTCTCTCTCTCTCTCTCTCTCTCTCACACACACACACACACACACACACACACACACACACACCTATAGTCATGTGATTGCGTTTTTGGTCCTTGGCAACTGGTTTCTATTGATGACCCTTCATAGTGTCCCATGATCATATAAATGCAATTTTTGGCATTTTTTCTGGTTTCCAGTTTCTGGCAAAAAAAAACAACCCTTGGGTATAATAACAATGAGCCGAGGTGACGCAGCAGTTAGAGTGCAGTACTGCAGGCCACTTTAGCTGACTGTGTTCAGCAGGTCAGCGGTTCAAATCTCACCGGCTCAAGGTTGACTCAGCCTTCCATCCTTCCGGGGTAGGTAAAATGAGGACCCAGATTGTTGGGGGCAATGTAAATATATATATACATTGCTTACTGGTGTACACCGCTTAGAGAGTGCTTGCACTTAAAGCGGTATATAAGTCTCATAAATGAATGAATGAATGAATGAATGAACAAACAAGCAATAGCAGCCTTTGCTTAACAACCACACTGTTCGCTTAATAACTACTGCTAAAAAGGTCATAAAATCAGACACGGTCATGTGCTGACTTGCTGGCTTAGAATTGTAATTCTGGGCTCAATTATAGTTGTCAGTCAAGGTCAGCCTGTACTGATACACAAATGTGTATTGATAAAACTTTGAACAAAAATGGCCATTTTATTGGGCATGAAGGAAGCCACATCCCTGCCCAAACTGGCAAAGCAACCTGCTATCTATGAACAGGGACCAAGCTCCACACTCCGTGACACTGATAATGTTATCTAGTTGGGTAATGAAATGTCTGCAAAGGAAACAACCAAATTCAGGAGACACCCGGAATTCCACAGTCCAGCCCTGTTCTGCAGATACTGTCTATTGAGAAGAAAATTTGATGGGTTAGTACAGTGTTTCCCAAACTTGACAATTTTAAGGCATGAGGACTTCAACTCCCAGAATTCCACAGCCAGCAATGCTGGCTGTGGAATTCTGGGAGTTGAAGTCCACATGCCTTAAAATTGTCAAGTTTGGGAAACACTGGGTTAGTAGATGGAAAATATTACAGGAGGTGATCTCAACCTGATTCTTTCCCCACAGCGCCCATTGTATCCTCCTGGGCTTCAGAATCTGAGTCCCGTATTGCCCAGTGGAGGTCTCCCTGGACGTGGGCTACCAGGATACCCCTTCCTCTCCTCCACCCCATCAGGTATGGTCCACACAGGGTTTCTAGGTGTGAATGAAAAACCTCGTATATTGTTCAAGGCCAATCCTAGTGAGCTTCTGGCACCTATGCTTGCTTAAGTTTCTAAGTCCTTTGAAAAATTTCCTAACCCTGGTAGCAATAGCAACAATAATAATAATAATAATAATAATAATAATAATAATAATGTTGGAAGGTACCTTGGAGGTCATCTAGTCCAACCCCCTCCTCAGGCAGGAAACCCTATACCATTTCAGACAAATGGCTGTCCAGTCTCTTCTTAAAAACTTCCAGTATTGGAGCATTTACTGCTTCTGGAGGCAGGTTGTTCCACTGGTTAATTGTTCTAACTGTCAGGAAGTTTCTCCTTAGTTCTAGACTGCTTCTCTCCTTGATTAGTTTCCACCCATTGCTTCTTGTCCTGCCTTCAGGCGCTTTGGAGAATAGTTTCACTCCCTCTTCTCTGTGGCAGCCCCTGAAATATTGGAAGAGTGCTATTATGTCCCCCCTTGTCCTTTTCTTCTTTAAACTTGACATACCCAATTAGACTTATATACCACATCGCAGTGCTTTACAGCCCTCTCTAAGCGGTTTACAGAGTCAGCCTCTTGCCCCCAACAATCTGGGTCCTCATTTTACCAACTTCAGAAGGATGGAAGCACCTGCAACATAACACCCCGGACTTAACAGTTGTCGATAAGAAAGACAAAAAAGTCTGGACGTGGCAGTGCCTGGAGACAGCATAATAGACGAGAAAGAACTGGAGAAGATAACAAAATACAAAGACCTACAAATAGAAATAGAAAGACTGTGGCAAAGGCAAGCAAGGGTAGTACCAATAGTAATAGGCGCCTTGGGTGCAATCCCAAAACAACTGGAGCACCACTTGAACACCATTGGCATTGACAAATTCGCTATTAGTCAATTGCAAAAGGCGGCCTTACTAGGAACTGCTTCCATCCTGCGACGATACCTGTAATACCATCAAACATCCACATCTGCCTATCCCAGGTCCTTGGGAAGGACTCGATAGGTAGACAAAAATGCCAAATCCAGTCTGAACATCTGGCTGACTGTGCAATGATCAATAATAAAATAATAAAGTTGGAAGGGATCTTGGAGGTCATCTAGTCCAGCCCCTTGCTGCAGGAAACCCTATTCCATGTCAGACTTGTTTATTTTGGATTCTTTAAACGTCCCACTAGATCTTCAGTGGTAATATTTGTCTGCCTTCTTGTTTTTTTTTTTGTTGTTGTTGTTGTTGATTGACTTTCAGAATATGCTTTGGGGGAAAGCACCCCACACCCCTTTGGCTTCCAAGGAAACACCACAGCAGCTTGGCAACCCCGAGAATATCCGATGTCAGGGTAAGAAGTGGCATGTTGCAATGACCTGAGCAAAGAGTGACCAACAGCTGTACGGAAACCCCTTTGTGCCTAAATCCACACAAGGCTCAAGTAGGCTAAATGTGGTGCTGGATAGTTACATTTCAGGGTGTTACGGGAATCCAGATGTTGTCTTTGCCTCACTGGAGGCTTACAAAAATAGAGTGGGCAACTGTTTGACTATTTGCCAAGATTACAATAGAATAGAACTGGAAGGGACCTTGGAGGTCATCTAGTCCAACCCCCTGCTCAGGCAGGAAACCCTATACCATTTCAGACAAATGGCTGTCCAGTCTCTTCTTAAAAACTTCCAGTGTTGGGAGCATTCACACCTTCTGGAGGCAGGTTATTCCACTGGTTAATTGTTCTAACTGTCAGGAAATTTCTCCTTAGTCCTAAATTGGATCTCTCCTTGATTAGTTTTCATCCGTTGCTTCTTGTCCTGCCTTCAGGTGCTTTGAAGAATAACTTGACTCCCTCTCCTTTGTGGCAGCCCCTGAGATATTGGAACACTGCTATCATGTCCCCCCCCCCTCGTCCTTCTCTTCATTAAAGTTATTGATAAAAATGCTGAATGTTGCCCAGAAATAGAAGCCTTTGGCGCTCTAGTTGTTATTTTCCTCCAGGATGAAGTGGTATGAAACAGGAAAGGATCTGATCTGGAGTTTACAGTGATGATGCTTATTTTGCTTCAGAGGCAATGGCTCTGAAGCTTTTGCTGCTTGCTCTGGGTGCTAATCCAACCCTCCTCATTTATGCTGGGCTAATTAATTCCAGGACTGTGATTACTAGATAATCTGAAAGCCAGGTGTTCCTGTTTAGATAAGGAGAACCTTGGACACTTCCTGGGGCTAAAGGCATATGCAGGTGTGTGTCCCATGAGAAGTTCTGAAAAAATATCCATGATTTACTTCTCCAATAAATTTGATGCAAAACCTGAACCGAATCATTAGCAAGATCCTGCTGCCATCTTGTGGCCACATTCAGTATCCACAGTGAGCAATTCCTGCGGTCCAAAACCCTGGAATCTGATTTGTGGTGTAAAACAAAAGAGTGGTTTTGGGAAGCTGTTCGACAACAGGAAGTGACAATAATAAAGGAACAATGGTTTGTGTGAAGGGGTGGGTGGGTTTTAGAGCTAATTAACTTAGAATAGCTTGATTCATCTTGTGCTTTAACAGAAAAGTGCATCTCTTCCCCAAGAATTCAGAATATAAACAGATTTCTCTGAAGGTAATTCTTGACTAATGACCACCTGTTTAGTGACCGTTCAATGTTACAACGGTGCTGAAAAAAATCTGGTCCTCACATCTACGACGAGTCCTTGCAGTTACGACCACTGCATCATTCCCCATGATCATGTGATCACAATTTTGGGTGTTTGGCAACTACTTTGCGTTTACGATTTGTGGGAAGTCAGCCCCCCAGAGAAGGAAATATTAAAAGGGCAAAATGTTATATTTCCTCAAAGGATCTTAAAGAGGCAGGAAAGCATGCCCAGTTTTTTCTTCATAGCGCCAAGTCTCTCTCCCCCAAGCAGAAACCAGCTCTGTAGAAATGCAGATATAAATAATCCAGGAAGGTTGGAGGCCCCCAGCTAGAAGCTTAGGAAGACAAAGACACCTAAAATCTATATACTTTACCCAAACTCTAAGGACATAATAGGATTAACTCACAGATACCAAAGGGGCACACTCAGATTCAGGTTAAAATACATGACACAGGAAATACAAAGCCTCAAATAGAAACAGGAAACCTCAAGAGCCCCAGAGGGTATAAAAACCCACTCCCTACATGTGCTCTCTCTCTTTTCTTCCAGAGCAATCTTTCTGCCTGGCTCTCCTCACTACTACTACTACTACTAATAATAATAATAATAATAAAAAAAAAAGTTGGAAAGGGACCTTGGAGGTCATCGAGTCCAACCCCCTGCTCAGGCAGGAAACACTATACTATTTCGGACAAATGGCTGTCCAATCTCTTCTTAAAAATTTCCAGTGTTGGAGCATTCACCACTTCTGGAGGCAGGTTGCAACCCTCTTTCTAAAGCAGTCGCTATGTTGTTTATTCCCGGTTTGGACTGAACCATGATGAACTTTTCCTTCAACAGACTGATTGCAGTGACCTGCAGTCACGATTTGTGACCCCTTTTTTGCTGATTTTTGGCAAACAGGGTCCATTTGGAAGAATTGGTTCATACTTAAGACCATGGCATCCCCTTAACAACCACAGATTCACTTAACAACCGCAGTGATTCTCTTAACAACCCTCTTAAACCTGGTTGTAAAATCGGATCTGACTCAGATTGCGATCACAACTTACGACGGAAATTTTGCTCCCAATTGTGGTTGTCTGTTGAGGACTACCTGTATACATAATGTATTTCTTTTTCCCCACAGAACAGCAAGTCGGATTTGTGACCAGACCTCTCTAGTCCCCACCTCACCTTCCTTGCACACCCAAATCAGTGTGAAGTCGGAGCGGGCCTCCCCTACCGCCAGCTGTTCCTCGGCTGTGCCCCAGCTCTCCACATCTGTGCGTTCCAGCCTCTCCAGTGTCCCCACGGACCTCCATCCCCAGGAAGATTATATCAAGGGTTATCATTACTCCTTCCTTCTTTCCCGGCCTCTGTCAGAAGAACCGAGGCAGCCCAGTGTTCCCTCCCATCGCCTGCCGCTGGTTGCTGCAGAGGAGTGGCAGAAGTAATGGCTTGTTCACAGCTGCTCAGTGGCTGTGGCTGTGTGTAGATGTGTGCATATGTGCAAGAGAGAAGGAGCGAATGCCCATCACCTGCGTTCACCTGTCAATCATAAGGGGGGGGCAAAGTAGGGAAGCAGCTGATTGCAGAATTATACGGGTGAAAAAAGCCTCCCCATAAAAGAAAAACTCAGGAGCTGGTAGAACAGAGAAGAGGTTACTGGCAGAACAAGGTCCTCCACTTACAACCATTCATTTACAAGTAGTCCTCAACTTAACAGCCATTCTTTTAGTGACCAAAGTTAAAATGATACTGAAAAAAGCGACCTGTGATGGGTCTTTAACTTACGACCATCGCAGCATCCGCCACACACTTGTGATCAAAATTTGGGTGCCTAGCAACTAGCATGTGTTTATTTGCCTAGTAACTAGCATGTCCTGGGGCCACGTGATTGTCACTTGGAACCAGTGTTGGGATTCAGCCAGTTCGCACCAGTTTGGCAAAACCGGTAGCTAATTTTTTGTTGCCCAGGCCCAGAATGGACTTCCAGAAGTGGCATCTAAAACAGAGAACTGGTTATTCACATATTTGAATCCCATCACTGACTCACTCACTCACTCACTCACTCACTCACTCACTCACTCACTCCATCCATCCATCCATCCATCCATCCATCCATCTCTATATCTCTATTTCTAGCCATCCATCATCTAGCTAGCTAGCTGTCTGTCTGTCTATCTATCTATCCATCTATATCTCTATCCTTCCATCATCTGTCTGTCTGTCTATCTATCTAGCCATCTATCTCTAGCCATCCATCTATCTGTGTCTGTCTATCTATATCTATCCATCCATATCTATCTCTATATCTCTATCCATCCATCATCTGTCTGTCTGTCTATCTATATCTATCCATCCATCCATCTATATCTCTATCCATCCATCATCTGTCTGTCTATCTATGTATCCATCCATCCATCCATCCATCCATCTATATCTCTATTTATCATCTGTCTGTCTGTCTATCTATCTATCTAGCCATCCATCTCTATCTCTAGCCCAGTGGTTCTCAACCTGTGGGTCGGGACCCCATTTGGGGTCGAACGACCATTTCACGGGGGTCGCCAAACAAGGCTGTCTGCCATTTTTTTCCCTTTTGGCCACGCCCCTGGCACATGGTGATGTATAAGTGGTTGGGGGTCACGACAACATGGGGAACTGTATCATGGGGTCACGGCATTAGAAAGGTTGAGAACCACTGCTCTAGCCATCCATCATCTATCTGTCTGTCTGTTTATATCCATCCATATCTATCTCTATATCTCTATCCATCCATCATCTATCTGTCTGTCTGTCTGTCCGTCCATCCATCCATCCATCCAGTGGTGGGATTCAGCCAATTCGCACCACTTTGGCAGAACTGGTAGCTAATTTTTTGTTGCCCAGGCCCAGAATGGACTTCCAGAAGCAGCATCCACACAGAGAACCAGTTGTTCACATATTTGAATCCAACCACTGCTTGCAACCTTCCCAGCCAGCTTCGGACAAGCAAAATCAGTGGGGGAGGGGAAGTCCCAGATTCACTTAACAACCGCAGGGTTCACTTAATTGCAGTGATTTGCTTAACAACTGTGGCCACAAAGGTCATAAAATCAGATGCAACTCGCTTTTCAGCAGCCTTGCTTAACAATGGAAATTCTGGACCCAAATGTGCCCTGAGTTGAGGACTACCTGTATAAGATTGGGAGTAGAATTAAGCTGTTGAAGTATCTCACCAATTTAAAAATAGCTGCACAGCTTCTCAAAGGCCCCAAATAAGCACAGACAAATCTTCCCTCTGCCCACAGGTAACTCCCCCAGCTGCTTTTCCAACTGTACTACACCCTGGTTACAAGGTACACCCTTGTCAGACCTCCAAAGGTTGCCAACCCCTGTAATTAGGCAAGGCGCTTTGTTCACGTTCAGAAGCAATCTTGTCATTTTTTTTTTAAAAAAAAGCATTTCTAAGAATTCACGCAGCACTCTTGAGAAGTGGGTTTGAGATACCTTCTGGGTTCATTTTCCTGCTTTTTCACTGAAAGTGTGTGCATTTTTTTCCTATTTAGGGAACTTGGGTGGATAGGGCAAATGTCTGCAGATCCCAAACGTGTCACTTTTATGCTTCTCTGATAAATAGCTTGAAGGGTGGATTTGCAGTGTCAGAGTAAAGGCAAAGTGGACATTTTTGCTGCCCTGGCCATTGAGGCCTTGACACCTGCATAGGGAGAGATAAGACCATTTTTAATGGTTTGCAGTCAAGTTGGAAATAAAAATAAATGTCTTTCAAATCATTCTAGTATCTTGGTTCTCATGTTGTGTGTGGGTGAGGGTGTGGGTGTTTCGGTTTGTTTTGGAAAAATTGCTTTCTGCCTTTGACTTCCTGGCTACATTCCCACAATATACTTAACCATGTCAGGGATAAACTTAGCATTCATACCACATGCTAAACTTTGCTGGTTTGAAGTCTTTGTGGGTTTCGGGATGCACTTAGTCAGTATCTGGTTCCCTGCATTCTTCAAATGGGTTAATCTGGTAAACCTTAACCAGATTGAATCTGGAGACCCCCTCCCTTATCTCAATTTTCTGTGATGCTGGTGGCTCTAACCACTAGATGGCAATATCTGCTATTTATTTTTAATTATCTCCCCCGAAGAGTTCCTGCTTCTGCAGATTAATTGGATTTATTTTGATAGTTGACTACATTATAAACCTGTGATGGAAGCACGAGCCATTGAGCCCCTTGCAAGACAGATTTTAAAAGCTATGAGGATGTTACAGTCATCCTTGGGTTTGGCTAGTTAAAGAAAAGGAGAAATAGGGGCAACATGATAGCAGTATTCCAGTATTTGAGGGGCTGCCTCAAAAAGGGGGGGGGGTCACATTCTCCAAAGCAGCAGAGGGCAGGACAAGAAACAATGGATGGAAACTGATCAAAGAGAGAAACAACCTGGAATTAAGGAGAAAATTTTTAACAGTGAGGACAATTAACCAGTGGAACAACTTGCCTCCAGAAATTGTAGGCGCTCCATCACTGGAGATTTTTAAGAAGAGGCTAGACAGTCACTTGTCTGAGATGGTACAAGACAGTGGTGGCGAACCTATGGCATGGGTGCCAGAGGCGGCACTCAGAGCCCTCTCTCTGGGCACGCGCGGCATTGCCCCAGTCCTAGACTTTCAGCTGGGTTTTATAAAACCTTTTCGCTTTAGGCTTCCGCCGCCGTGTACAAAAAAAAGAGGTTTAATCAATCAGTCAATTTCAATTTCTCGTGGGAAAAAAAAAGATCTTGCAAAGTTGGGATTGATTGAACTTTTTAGTCCCACCCAGTCTGCCGTTACCACTGCAGCCACGCCCTGCCAATGGGCCACACCCACCCAGCACCCAATGATACATAAGTGGGTTTTGGGTTGCAGTTTGGGCACTCGGTCTCTAAAAGGTTCGCCATCACTGGTATAGGACTAGGTTGTCCTGCTTGATCAGGGGGCTGGACTAGAAGACCTCCAAGGTCCCTCCCAGCTTCTATTCTATTCCATTTTCTGTTCTGTTCTATTCTATTCTATTCCACTCTACTCTATTCCATTCCGTTCCATTCCATATTTTCTATTCTATTCTATTCTATTCTATTCTATTCTATTCTATTCTATTCTATTCTATTCTATTCTATTCTATTCTATTCATTACATTTATATCCCAATTTTCCTCCTGGAACTAAAAAGCTAACTTTCTATCAATGTTTCTCCAGAAGAAATATATTTTGAGATATCTCAGGTTAGAGAGCATGGCTGGAGTCAGCCAGGGAGCTTCTGTAGCTGATGGAGGACTAGAATCTAGGTGTTCCTGCTCCCAGTCCAGCACCTACCACTTCAACCCCAATGTGGTCCTTGGGCTAAGGAGCAGAAACTCACTCCAAGTCCCCCAAGGAGCTTCTGTGGCTGGCAAGGACTTAAAATACAGGTAATCCTCGACTTACGAACACAATTGAGCCCAAAATGCCTGGCTGAGGAATTCTGGGAGTTGAAGTCCACAAGTCATAAAAGGGCCAAGTTTGAAGACCCCTGGGTTAATGGTTCCACGTAGTCACATCAAAATTATTTTGCCTCTTGTGCTGTTTTATCTACATGCCAGCATACAGGTAATCCTCGACTTACGACTACAGTTGAGACCAGAACTTCCATTGCTAAGCAAGGAGTTTGTTAACTGAATCGTGCCCAATTTTTAAACTCTTTTTTCTCCTGGTTGTTAAGCGAATCTGGCTTTCCCCATTGACTTTACTTGATGGAAGTGGGTGGTGAAGGATGCTAATGGGGATCACATGACCCAGGAGACTGCCACCGTTGTAAATGCAGGTTAGATGCCAAGTGCCTGAATTTTGATCATGTGACCAGGAGGATGTGGCAACAGACGTAAGTTTGAGGACCAAGCATTAGTCAGTGACTTAAAATGATCCTCAGTCACTTAAAATGGTCGCTAAATGAATGATTGTAAGCTGAGGACTAAATGTGCTGCCAAATTCTAAGGACTTACCTAGGCAGTTCCCTAAGACAAAGGGGGGGGGGGGTGAGAGGACACAGATAAATGGAAAGGACTGAAAAATGGGATAAACTTTTCTCGTCATTGTGCAGGGCTGTGAGCAGCGGTGGGATTCAAATATGTGAACAACCGGTTCTCTGTGTGGATGCCACTTCCGGAAGTCCATTCTGGGCCTGGGCAACAAAAAATTAGCTACCAGTTCTGCCAAAGTGGTGCGAACTGGCTGAATCCCACCACTGGCTATGAGCAATATTTAGCAGCTAAAACATGGAGCTGGGCAGAGTCTAAACGTCACAGTTACATTTCAGAAACAAATCCTAACATCTACAGATCAATTCAAAGGAAGAATTTTGGAAGGATGCCCGCCTGCATTGGAAGAAGATGCGTGACCCAACAGATAACATTGCCACAGCTGAATAGCCGTGTCAACCATGTCCGGTAATATATTTGCGCATTTTCTCATCCAGAATGTTGTGTAAACTCAGCCTCTGGTGAGTTTATGGTCCAGCGCATTCTGCAGATCCAGAAACCACATAGTTCAGTAACCAGATTAAGCTTGTGTGAATGCAGCCCACATGTTAACCTTTGAAATGCCACAAAACCGTGAGATGTTCTGTAAATCTACAACCGTCACGGGAAACCATGGGCAAAATTGTCTGCCAAGGGTCCAATTTGGCATTTCTTTCCAAAAATATACTGCTTCATCCCAGTGGGAATCAAGAGAGGGCTAGATCAAAGAATTAGAAGGAATAATAAGTTTTCCTCCACTCCCCTGCTTCTTGCTTCTAAATACTAAAACAGAGGACCTTTCATTTCTTTCATTGATCAGTACTTAAAATAAAGAGGATCTTTCGGTGATCTGCATAGATACTCAAGATTAAATCCATGCCCCAAATCTCATAGTCATTTATCTATCTTGTGAGATTTGGGTCATTTAAGTTGTAATTCATACTCCTTCCATTTTGAACCTCTGCTGATTGTCCCTGATACAATCTGGGTTGTTCTTTCCAGAGATAGATAG